TGGGGGGAGGGGGGAGGGTGGGCATTATGGCACGATTTCACAGCTGATATCCGCCGTGTCATCGGGCCTTATACCCCCGCCATGAACGAGATAAACCTCGCTGACTTTCCCGGGCGATGTGCCGATCTTACAGCCTGGGCCCCACTGGCTCAAAGATCATGGACAGCGAGGTTTGGGTTGGTATTGGGTAGGCTTTTAGCCTGTGCTCCACCCCCCGCCCTCCCCTTTGTCCGGAGATTTACCATATGCAGTAAGGGGGGACGGAAGGCAGGAAGCATACATGCCTACTACATACGAGCAACACGGTGTTTTGAACCAAAACACTTTTGTTGACAAGTTAGTTCCTCAGTCTCGTTCAGAAACAGTAGAAACTCTCGACTCTGGTCCCTCGTACAGTCCTATTTGATTACTCCCTTACACACTAATGAGGGACTTGGAACCCAAGCCTCTTGGCCTTGTAGCCGCCCAACAGATAGTCATACATATGTGAATCAATCTAGAACCGCAGAACACGTGTGCATGTGATGACTATACATCTTATCTCCTGGAATAACAAGCCCGACACTTGTGTGTAAGTAGCCCTTCATTTACGAATATCCACCAGATTATGCATGCAATCAAATCTACATACACAGTTAGTTGTACACACTGAAGCAACGTTCACCCTCACTCCACCCTATTCAATACACACACACACACACACTTTACACCTACAACAGTAGAACCACCAATTATTCAACACAATAAACAAACTTCACCTCTCGCCCCCCCCTTCCCCCCAATACTAAGCTATTACCCAAAACCCCCCGAACCATCACCCCATAATCATTCCACTTCTCTTTTATTCCGAACTTCAAGACACAACAAAACTAACCCGTACTCCGCCGTACTACCCCCGTCCCCCCACCCCGTTCCCCCCCACATCCCAAACCAGCCCAAAAGCCCAAGATCAATAACCCTTCTCACCTCCGCAATACACCAAACAGACAAAAGTCTCCACACATACACACTCCCGTTTCCGCACAACCTTATTCCCCATTCATACATCCATCCCCCTTTTTCTTTTTCCCTTCTCAACCTTCTGGGGATGGGGGAATGACTGGACTGGACTGGATTGGACTTGGGGAGGGGGAAACGTGACAAGGTTATAATAATCCTTGTTTCTTTCTTTCTTTCTTTTTTTGACTTTATGGGTCTGAGTCTCGGGGAGAGAGAGAGTTTTTTTTCTCTGTCTCTCTTTTGCTTACTTATCGCCTTGTGTATGAAAAAAAAGGGGGGGGTTGGTTGGTTGGTTTACTCGTATGGATCGAAGTTTTGGGGAGTAGTGTAAGGTGGGTTGGAGTGATGAGGGAGTGTGTTGATGTGGATGTAGTTTGCTTCGATACTTGCGGTACTGCAAAAGGGGAATTGATGTGGGTTTTCGTGTTGGAAGGAAAGTTTTTTCTTCTTCAGAGGATTGTTGTGGATGTTGTTTTGGGTTCTTTGGAATGGGGATCTATCTACAGGCTTAGTAGCGTCAGGTCTGCATGATTATCCTGTGTGTTGAGGATGTAGAAAAGTGAAATTCTATGCTCAGTGTAGCTAATAGAGATGGATATCTATTTTTTTTTCTACGTATTTCAAGGATTCTATCTGATTTAATTGATACTAGATGAGATTGTGTAGTTATGTATTCTTCAGTTAAGAAAATTGTGTTTTAGATTCAGTATTTTGTGTGCAAAGCAGATGTAGAAATCTGCATGAACAATTTTTTCATATAACTCCACTGACAGATCTGGGTTGTTGATAGCTTCATACATATTAATATAAAGATTGTAATGAAATTGAATGTATATATAGTGTAACTTTTAGTATATATTCAATGTGACTATATGTACATGGCGGTTGCTCGTATCGCTATACGCATTACCATATATTTATTTCACCTTTCATCTTGACAAAAACCAACTACCAAAACCCAGGACGCAAAAGTGGCAACGAGGGGAACTATTCCGAGGTACATGAGTCGAGCCCACTAGTTTTACTCAGATAAAACAAACATTTACTTCATTATTGTAAAATATCACAGTATACGCCTCTGACATTTCATCTCATCATAGACAACTCATAAAATTCATACATCAACATATATAGCATCGCTTTTTTGATAAACCCAAGAAAAGATCCCAACACCACATAAATGTACAATCACGCCTCCTTCTCGCCCTCAGGCTCTTCAAACTCCACCAGCGCAGTGCCTGCCTTACACAAATCGCCCTTGCCGTGCACAATCCTCTTTACAATGCCCTGGCTCGGACTCCTAATCACAGTCTCCATCTTCATACTCTCAATTACGACAAGTGCCTGATCCTTCTTGACCTCCTGGCCCTCCTCAACCTCGACACGGAGAACCTTGCAGGGCATGGGGGCAAGAACGCTGTTGGCGACATCCTTGACGCCGAGAGCCTTCTTGGTCCACTCGGGCATGGCGAGTCGGAGGCGGTGTTGGCGGCCGAGGTGGAAGAGGGTGATGCGGTCTTCGTCGCGTACAAATGTTGTTTCGAGACGGGTGTGTGGGTAGAAGGAGGTTAGTGTTTTGCTTGAAGGAGAAAAGGAAGATGTGACGTTGTTGTATGTTTTGTCGCCCACGACAATGTCAAATTGCTGGGGACTTGTCTGACGGATGGTAACTTTTGTTGCTTTGGCTTCGCCTTTGCCGTCGGCGGGTGTCTCAACGAGGTTGAATTCGCGCTGTTGGTAGGCGCTGCTGAAGCCGAAGCCAACAGCTGTCACAGGCGGTCCCGTCCATACATCTCCTTTTGACGCAGAAATTTGCTGAAGAGCGAGACCCAGTGCGGCTTGACCGTAGACTTCTGGTGCCGGAGGCTGAGGTGTAAAGAGCTCACTGTGGTGCTTCTGGATGTATCCCGTCTCTACGTCACCGGCGACAAAGTCTGGAGACACACACATGCGCTTGATGAATTCAATGTTTGTAACGGGGCCAGCAACTTCGTACTCCTCAAGCGCGGCTCGCAATTTTTGGATTGCTGCCTCGCGCGTAGGGCCTTGGACAATGAGTTTGGCAATCATAGGGTCGTAGTGCGAAGATACTTCATCACCAGCGATGAATCCAGAGTCGATGCGCACAGTGGAAGTAGGTTGGGGTGTCTTGAGATGAAGCAAAAGTCCGGAGTCGGGGATGAAGTTCATGTCTGGGTTCTCAGCGTATATGCGCGCTTCGATGGCATGTCCTCTCTCCTTGATCCTCTGCTCGATTTGTTGCTGAGTAAGGGGCAGTTTTCCACCCTCAGCAACGATGAGTTGCCACCTTACAAGATCTTCACCAGTGACCATTTCAGTAACAGGATGCTCGACCTGCAGCCTGGTGTTCATCTCCATAAAGAAGAATTCACCCGTGTCGTTGTCGAAGATGAACTCGACGGTTCCCGCTCCTTCATAGCCCACGGCAAGAGCAGCCTGTCTAGCCTTCTCCCAGATATCTTGTCTGACGGCCTCGTCCAAGTGGGGAGCTGGGGATTCCTCGAGAATTTTCTGGTGTCGGCGTTGAATACTACAATCTCGCTCACCCAATGCGACGCAGTTTCCATGCTTATCGGCGAAGACTTGGATTTCAATGTGGCGCGGCGTGGTGATGTACTTTTCGACTAGCATAACTTCGTCTCCAAAGGAATTGCGCGCTTCTGACTTTGCAGAGGCTAGTTGATCAAGAAACTCGGACTCGTCCTTGACGATGCGCATGCCCTTGCCGCCCCCACCTTTGACGGCCTTAAGGAGCACGGGATAGCCGATGCTTGCTGCTTGCTCCTTGAGGTACTCTGGATCTTGGTTGGAGCCATGGTATCCGGGAATGCAGGGGACGCCGGCTTTGGTCATGATGTCTTTGGACTCACTTGTGCATGTTAGCTAGCATGGCTACATTGGATCATCAGGACGCACCTCTTGCTTCCCATGGACTCGATTGCTTTCCATGGGGGACCGATGAAGGTCAAGCCCGCGTCTGTACATTTTCTCGCAAAGGTCGGGTTCTCGCTCAGCTATGGTGCCCGTTAGTGTTGTGCCATGTCGGTGTCTAGAGGGACGTACGAAGCCGTAACCGGGATGTATGCCCTGGCAGCCCTGCTCCTTTGCAATCTGTATTATGCGGTCGCCATCGAGATATGCAGAGGGGTCGCCGAGATTGACGGCATAGGGCGAGCTGAGGGCATGCTGTGACCGGGCATCGGGGTCTGTGTAGAGGGTTGTGGTCCGGATGCCGTATTCTGATGCTGTGCGGCCGACTCGTCTAGGACCATGTCAGATGCGATGCTTGCCCGTCCACAGCATGAGGCTTACAGTGCAATCTCTCCACGATTTGCTATGAGGACAGAGGTAAGCGCCTTGGGTGTGGGCGTAGCTGTGGAATTGCAGCGGATGCCATTGGGAGCAAGCAGCTGGCGCGAGAGGTGAGTAGACTTGCGAAAGGCACGCATGGTCACGAATGCAGTCTATGGAGCAGATGGGATGGACAGATTGCTTGACTGGCAGACTGCTTGATTGACTGCACAGCTACAAAAAAGTAAAGCACATGCGGTGCTGAGCCATGGATGTGTGCGAGGAGCCTCGGTGTCGTGTTAAGCCGCGTGGAGCCGGGCGACGTCAATACGCGGGGAAGAGGCACGCGCGAACTGGAGCGGGCAGCGGGCAGTCGCACTCCACGCCCGCAACTCAATGAGGAAGGAGCGTGGGTGACGTGGGACGGCGCCAGCCAGCTCACTGTTGCTTGTTGCCCTTGTTGCCCGTCGCGCTTTCCTCGAGAATGCGCCACTCATCGTCGCGCTGATGGTCCCCGTGCGCCTGAATGCGTCCTCTGCGCGTGCCCGCGTCATAGCCTCCACTTGCCCCGACTGCACCCTCGACAAGGACACGCTCCATCTCTAGCCACCATGAGCGACTACGAAGACGAATACGACTACGACGATGCCGAGTTCTTCTATGTCGAAGATGAGTATATGGCAGCCGACGACCTCGCAGAGCACGCCGTAGCCTCGCCCCCACCGGCCACATGCGGCGACGAAGACATGGAGGAAGACTGGGACCGCTTCGATTACTTCAACGATCTCGAGTATGCCTCCGACGGCTACGATGATACTACTTTCCAGCCACTCGACGTCAAGGGCGCAAAGGCGGGCTCCAAGAGGAAGCGGCCAGTCCGCCGTCCAGTCAGGAAGAGCAAGGTCGACACCAACACAAGTACGGGCGCGGAACCCGCTGCGCCAACTCACTCACCCATTGTCTGGCGCTCTCAGGCAGACCGCGGCGTGAAACCCAAAGCACTCGAGGACAACGCGCAACCATATGCCCTGTTCAAGAATTGGCGCGAGACGCTTGCCAACATACCAGAATGGGCAAAGGGGTCGCCGCCAACTTCACCAGGCGCAGCGTCAATTCCATCAGAAAAAGGAAAAGGGAAAATGGCTTTTGTTGCAGAGCCAGCATCCCCGCCCTATGACGAGGATGAAGAAGAGGGTCACGACGAGGCTACGAGCGAACAAGGACAAGGCATCTCTCATGAGGCTCTTCTAGCAGCCTTGCAGCGTCAACTCGCTGCTGCCGGTGGTCCGCTAAGCGGCATGGATCCCCAACAGCTCCTTGAATTTGCCATGCGCATGGCCGCCGACCAAGACGCAGGCGACGACATTGCAGGCGAGATGGCCGACGCGATGTTCGAAGGCGAGGACGAAGACGACGACGGCGACGCCGAGGAAAAGCTTCTCTCCTGGGTAGCCCAACAACGCAACGGCAACAAAGAAGTCACAGAAACCGACTCCCTGCCCACCGACGAAACCCCCTCAAGCAAACGACCCCCCACACCCCCTCCCTCAACCGCCACCCGCAGCGTCTCCGCATCCCAAACAGACACCACCCCCTCCATCCCCACCCCCACCAGCCTCCCCGCCCTCGACTCCAAAATCCCCAAACCCTCACGCAAACGCAAAGCCGACGACGAGCCCTCCACAGATGAGTCTACAAAACAAGCAAAGAAACGTCCGACGAGATCTTTCGATGCCCCCACAGCAGCTAGTCAGGCTAAAGCCGCGACGCCGAAATCTGCGACGAGGCCGAGGACGGGTCGGCGGACCTAGGATTTGTTGTAAGGAAGGATATGTGGATCTGATGAACGCGTGGCTATATTCGATATGAAATATGGGAGAGCAAAAAAAAGAGGGGGAAGAGTTTCACGGTATATAAATGGCTCGATCACGGCATGAGGATGAGGATGGGAGATTGGGTGAGGATACGCGTAATGAGCTGGGAATCGAGTATCGTCATTCCCGGGAGAGTTTTTTTTTGTATTATTAGTTTCATTTCCTTTTTCTGTCTGCTTTTCTTTGATTTTTCAGAGGTTAAGGATGCGCTGCTTCCGAGCAGCTTTCAACGTCACGATTGGGTACTTGAACGGATTTTTTCCCCTTCTGGGGAGGGGGGCTTTTTTTTGGGAGAGGAAGAAGGGAAGGGATGGGATGGGAAAGGGGGGCTGCGGCGCTGTATTTTAATTAGGTATATACCCCCCCTTCCGTTATGCTTACTGTGATTTGGAATATGAAAGCCACTGGATTGGCAAGTCTCTTTTTTCTTTTTGCATACGAAAAGATCCAGGGTGATGATAGTAGCATGAGGTGTGAATAAACAGTGTGTTGGTTTGAGAATACGTCAATCTCTGTCAAATCAGATGAAGCAACCCACATCACATCAGAACCATACATGTACAATACAAGAGTGGTATTAAGAACGCTACCAAAAAAAGAGATATCCTAAAACTACAATTCTACTTCGTCTCCATTTCCAACTATCTACAAACTTACGCCCCCACCACCGCCTCTTCACTACCCCTCGCACCATCCCTTACTCCCTGCACGGGGGCCCTTCTCTCCCCAAAATTATGCAACCGCTCTCCAATCAGATAAACCTCATCACGGACAACCAGCCTCCAGCGAACAAGCAACCTGACCACCGCCGACGAAGCCCACATAAGCACGATACTAAGGCCCACAGCGGGAAAACTAAAGCGCCAAACCTGGCTCTTCGTCGCCTCGCTCGCACCACGGTACAGAACTCTTGTCGCGAAGAGCGCTAAGCTAGAAGGGATGGCAATAGCAACGAGGAAGATAGCAAGGACAGGGATCACAAAGCACCTCGTTGCAATTCTCGCATTGGGGTATAGATAGCCATCACGCACGACGGCGGCAAAAGCGCGGGCGGGGCGGGAATTGCGATTGGAGAAGATGAGTCTGGCGGCGAGGCGCGAGTACAAAAAGCCGAGGGTCCAGTCTTGAATGAGGTGCACTACGTGCGGTTCTTTGGGGCCGAGGTAGGCGTGCAGGGGCATGAGGAAGTAGAGTTCGAGGATGACGGCGAATAAAAAGGGGATGGCAAAGATGATGCTGGCCCAGACGTATGAGAAGCGGAGGGCGCGGCCGCCCACACGCGCTGTAGTGGCTGCGACGGTGCGTAGGGTAGACATGGGGTCTGGGAGACGTCTGTTGAGGGATGATATGAATTTTGTGGCGTGGTAACCCGAGTAGGCGATACTGGCTAGGGTGTAGACTCCGAGGGAGAAGGCGTGGATGTCGTTCATTTCGACGGTTGGGGGGAGGAAGAGCGAGAAGAGGTAACGGCCGAAGAGAAGAGGTAGGATGGTGACGCTGACTCCCGACAGGCCCATGAAGATCCAAATTGTGACTACGAAGCAGAAGATGCGCAGGCGGAACCATGGTGGTATGAAAACCATTGACACAAGATCAGAGTTGTGCACACCTCCTTCGTTCTGGCCGTCCTTGCGCACATTGTTTCGATCTACTTCGACAAAGACAGGCTGACCCTTAGGAATGCGGGCTTGATCGGAAGATGGAGCACGCACATATCTGCCATCCTCACCTTCCTGCTCCGGAACCTTGTCGCCGAAGAGGAAGTTTGAAAGGCGGAGGAAACCGGCGCACTTCTGGAAACACCACTTGTAGATGGCGTGTAGGCCCTCGCTAGGCTTGTAAAACTTGATAATCACTGGCGTGAGGAAGTTGTAAAAGAGGAGGTCGAGGGGGAATTCTAGCGATGGTGCTTCGGTTGTCCAGTGAATTGGCAGAACATTGGAAGTTGCCCGGCTCAGAGTCCAAACCACTCCTCCGAGACAAACAATGACCAGTGCGCCATAGACGAAAGCACTAAAGGCAATCTTGCGAAGCTGAGTCGTGACACTGCGCTCTAGAACGTCACGAACCGGGTGAAATGTAGGATCATCTGGATCGCGGATGAAGTACAGGACACCCTTGCGCATAATTTTACGGCACATGGAGACGAAGAGTGCAAAGTGGAACATGTAGCAAGTGCCGATAAACCAGTGCACAAACCCAGATGTCCACGGACTTTCCCTAGCAAATTGCCACCGCGTGTACAGCGTAGCATTCTTGAAGAGAGGGAGCATGGCGAGGTCGAGGAGCAGGCCGCAGTACAGTGGGAATACCAACATCTCGATGCTGATGATCAAGATTACCTTGAGCACACCACCAGCTTGTTGTAGAATGTCGGAGATGATGCGTTCAATTTTCTGTCCCTGCTGTGATGAGCTAAAGGGAGTGCCCCGCTTAAGGTACACTGCACCAGCCAAGGCGAAGAACCCATAGCCAGCAAGAATGGCAATCAGACGATCGCTGGCTGTCCAGTAGTCCATTGCGGTATACGTAGAAGTTGTATTGTGAGTCGAATCCAGATCAAGGGTAATCTTGTATGATCTGGAAGCCCATAGCCATGACAGTAAAGCGCCGCTTCGTCCATATGCAGATGTAAAGGTGTCTGTGACGAGAGACGGCAACTGTCCGGCAACCCTCAACACAAGCTTGGGTAGCGATTCTGCTGAAATCTCCTCAATGATTGCGTTTGCAAAATGGCTAGTCTCGTTGAGCGCGAACGAAGTCGTGTTTTGCAGGCTTCGCAAAGAAGCATGGGCATTTACTGAGAGTCGGAAGGAGTCGGGTCCAGGCGATAGAGGCGACTCCATGAACATTTTGCTGATACGGACCATGGAGCTCTCTGCAAGAGAATAAGCCGGCGTTGATATCGTGCGAAGTGGGCCTTCGACCGCCTCTGAAAGTTGGCCCCAGGAAAAGAGTTTGACCAGACCAGATATGGCAGCAGAACTCCAATACGTTGCACCAGCTACGACAAATAGAGTGACATCAACAATCAAGTCTGTGATGGTGGCGACTACTTGGAGAGGCAGCTTGATGAAGAGCGAGACAGGACTTCCCATGAAGAGAATGACAACCTTACCCCAAAGGTAGGGGAGCCAAACTGCACAGGCCAGTGTTGCAGAAATCAGCACTGCGCTGAACAAGGCGTTCTGGAAAAGACCAACCAGGGGTCCTTGCATGCCAATGAGTTCAAGTATGCCCTCCAGATCCTCTGCGTCCTCAATCGCTTCTTGGTCATTGACATCGATACCAGCCTGCGCCGCGGCAGCAGCTACCTCAGCATCTTGTGCAGGGGCATTGCCGTGGTCTCGCGCCTCGTTGCCCATGAATGGGACGAACGGCGCCTCATCTGCCAAGTCACGGACAATATGCTCCTCATTGCCCCCCTCATCAGCTGCCTGTACTGCAGGCGCCACATCTCCAAACATCCAGTCTAATACGAGGTTTACCGGATTTCCTGGGGCTTGAGGTTCTGCGGGCTGGACAGGATTTACAGGCGCAGGGGACTCATTTTCATGTTCCTCGTCCTCCTCAGCTTCGGTTTCTTCGTCTGCAGTCAAATTGTGCGCGGGTTGGCTGGCATCAAACTCTACTTCAATAGTGGTGTTCACCGTAACACCGTTGTCCGAATCAGCAGTAGTGCTTTCAGACGATGAAGCAGATTCATGTGGTGTGTCTTCATTCGATGCTTCTTCGTCACCATAGTCAACAGCTTTGGCTTTCCCCTTGTCGTGTGCGTGCTCTCTTTCCAGCGCTTGGTCAGAGTCATCCCCCACAACCTCAGGAATCTGTTGCCAACTCCCGCTACTATGGTCACTATGCTGCTCGTGATCTGATACACTGCCACGCTCTTGAGCTGGTTGTCGGTCTCCAGCATCATTTTCCCAAGAACTGGGTGCCTCGTTCGCATTGCCAGCGGTTGGTTCCGACGCTTGTGGCAGATTCTCGAACGACCAAGTGTTGGCCTCTTCTAGGCTGCGACGAATCTCTGTAGCAATAAACGAGCGATCACGTGCTGGCATGTTTGGCCTTGACCAGGATGCAGACGAATCAGAATCTGCGGCATCTGGTGTGGAGCTCGAGGGCAGAGGAAGTGAGGAAGTGCGTGCGGCAAACGTTGAGCTGCTGGCTTCTTCTTCTTCTTCTTCATCATCATCATCAGCCTGGTTGGCAGACTCTCCAGCACTCATCGCTTGGCGAAGAGACTCTTGAAGGTTTTGAGCAGTCGCATCATCCTGGTTGAAGATATCGGCAAGGCCGTTGGCCGATTCCGATTGCAAAATTGCTCGGACGTCATCTGACAAACCTTCGCGTACTAATCTACGGACCAAGTCATCACGCTCCCTGCGGAGCGAAGAAGACCGACGCACCCGGCGTATTGTAGGATCTGGGGTGTCAGGCTCTTCGGCTTGGGCGTTGTTGTCAGGGAAGCCTGATTCGTTTTCATCATGGTCACGCAGCTCGTGAGTGTCTTGAGCGACCTCGGCATGCAGAGCGTCTAGAGCATCGTCCAGCTCATCTTCGTCAACCGCAACGTCCTCAACATGAGCGTCGTCGTCAAAGATTGCACCTTGCTGTGCAACAGCATTGTCGCCAAGAGCAACCATGTTGATTACCGGTTGCTGCTGGACAACCCATTCTCGAATGAGAAATACCAGGATGAACGCGACTACTACAAGCAGAGTGATGATCTGACCTTCAATCACATCGATGATAAATCGGTTGGCTGCCTGGGATTGGAACCAATTGAAGAAAGGGACGTCGGAGAGTAACGAAGGGCTACGGACACCGAGAGGACTTGACGTGATATTCGATGCCGTAATATTCTTATCAACGACAGACAAGAGGCTTGATTGGTCACTTTGAGGCAGCTGAAGGAAGGGATACGGGGCGCCAATAAAGAGGCGTTCCGCGAACCTCCAGAGCATGGACTGGGGAGCGGTTTTGTTGTTGGGCGTGAGGGATACGGATGCTAGTGAGCTGGCATTGTTCCTGGTCTTGGCATTTTCAACTGCAGCCCGGATGGTGCTTAGTTCACTGGGGGAGAATCGGCGCATATCCGGTGTCTCGGCCGTGTCTATGAATATTTCTCGCGACCAACCGCCATCGCCGACCCAGAAGAGGCTGCGCCAGACTACGCGCATGCACCAAGGGAGCAGGAACAGCCACACGGCGCCCACGAGAACACCGCGACACCAGGTGACAAACATGTTGAAGACGTGGAGGGTGGCGCGGTGGATGAAGACGGTCGTGGGTATGCGGTTGGGCATGTTTGGGTGGTATAGCTTGGTGAAGCGAAAGGACGTCTTGCACAGCTCGCAGTGCTTCTTCTGCGTGTGCGAGAGCCATTCCATCAGACACTCCTGGTGGACATATCGTATGCTACCGCTGCATTTGCAGGGGAAGAAGAGCGGCTCTTCGGCAGTGCCTTCCCCGCGGCAAATTCGACAGGTATCGGCTTCGTCTCTGTCGAATGTTCGTGTGTCGGGCGAGTCGGGGGCATCGTCAAACGGCCCCGCATTCAGAGGCGCGGCATCGGTGGCCATTGTTGGGTGGTATTAAAAGATGTATAAGGGGTATAGGAGGGCGAAGGGAAATCGTCGGAGCAGTGCGCTTTCGGGCAGGAGCCGTAGAGTGAGGTATCTCAAGTAGTCATCGGGACGAAAGTGACGGAGAACAGTTTCTGGGTGCGTCGCGTGCTGGTACGCGGTGGGATAGCAGGGCTCGGCTTGGCTTGTGGAAGCAAGCAGAGTAGGACAAGAAATATACAGACGGACAGGAAAGGGAGTGACGTATGAATGGGGTTATGATGGGGGTGCGTGAGGGAAGGCGGCAGAATGGTGAAGGCGGCGGCAGAGGACACCGGGCGGAAGTGGTGGTGATGTCGCCGCCGGACCCTTGGAAGCAGTCTTGGCACAGAACCCCCCCCGGCCACCACAACGGCTATGTATGTAAGGACGCTACCCTAGTGCCTGGTGGGATACTCTCTTCTACGCATACGTACGTGTTGCTGCACGCACTACGTACATTTCTGACAAACAAGCATGGGGTTTTGTTCTGGCCCGGCCCTTAAAAGCAGCCATGCTGTGACAAAACATCGGCTGTTGGCACACGCAAACGGCCCATTTTCTCGGTGCACGACAAGCGTGGGCGTTACAGAGCTCGCAGAAGGAACTGCAGCAGGGGCAGCAGGGGCAACCTGAGGCACTCGCACCCCCAGCTCCAGCTCCATCGCTGCCGTCGCGACACAGACGCATATACTACATATGTACTGGTGTCCGCTGGCGTCCTGTCACGTATCACAGATAATACCCGCTGCCACAATCAGCTCGCATGTCCCAATCCTGATCCTGTTCTGTCTCTCGTCCTGCGCCCGCACGTGCAAATTACATCACTGCTGCAGCTCGGTTGTGCTGCACCTCCAACGCTAGACAGACAGGTTACGTCGAGCGGCCATCAGCTCCATTCTCCCTCTATCCACAATCCACCAAGCTGCACATTTCTGCTCCGTTTGGTGAGCAGCCTGACTCGCCCCCGCCGCTGCAAATTGGCTGATCCGTATTGTCCAGAAGCCGCTCCGCTCCATCGTCGACTACACGCGAGCATGGCCGCCCAGGCCAACGGAAGGACAAAAAAGTCCAAAACCTCGCCAAATGGCAGTGCCAATGGCTCCACCGGCGCATCTGCCAATGCAAAGGCGAAGAACAATGCAGACCAGGCCCGCTCAGCCCGCTCAAGAAAGCCCCGGCGCACTGTGGTGGGAGCCTTTACGAGCATGACAGCACGCCTGACAACGTGGTACCTCATCATCACCTTGCTGTTCCGCTGCCCCAAGTCCATCACCCAGCTGCACGACGACTCTCCCCGCGTGTGCAAGCCATACCTCCAAACTCGTGACTTCGCCGCGCCCTATCTCGACCCCTACTACGAGACCTATGTCGTCCCCCAGCTCGACAAGGTCAAGCCCTACACGACGCCCGCCATCGCCTTTGCACAGGAGCAATACGCAACACACGGTGCACACAGGGTCGAGCTTGCGAGGAAGTATGCAGAGGCTCAATATGAAAAGTCCATCCGTCCTCAGCTGCAGAGCGCCCAGGAACAGGCCTGGGCACAGTACGACGTTCACCTGAGTCCCCACGTCAAGAAGGCGACCGACGCCATTGCCCCTCACTACAACGACCTCAAAGTCAGCTCAGAGGAAATCTACCACCATACCCTCTTCCCAGCCTATGAGCAGTCTCTTCCATATCTGAAGCAGGGACATGCCTATGGGCACCACGTCCTTGTTGATATTGTCTGGCCCCACCTTCGCACTGCCCAAGAAACCGCCTGGACTTTTATCCAGCGCAGCGTCTGGCCCCAAATCCGCATCCTGTACGGAGACAATGTTGAGCCCCAGCTAGTTCGCATCTCCGAGCGACTAGGCCGCTACAAAGACCAGCAAAAGATGGAGTCTGCCATGTCTGCTGCTGATTCGCAGGCGGCTACCTCTGTGGAATCTAGCAAACATGCCCCCACCACGGCTAGCTCTTCCGCCTCTGCTGCCTCTCCCGGCTCCACCGAGGGGTCTGGCTGGGGTGTCCTTGACGACTTTTTTGGCAGCGAATCTGCGAGTGGAGCCTCAAAGGAACTTGAACCAAAATCTTCACCTAGCGTTGCCCCTGCTGCGCCTAAGCTCACCAAGGCTGAGCTGCAGGAGAAGCTTAACAACGATCTCCGCCAGTGGCAGGACAAGTTCACTGCTGCCGCAGACAAGGGTGCCGAAGATCTCGAAGCACGCGTAGAGGAAATCACGAACCACAAGATCAACGATGCTGTTAACGGTCAGGGCAAGGCTCTGCTCATCAGACTCGAGGAGACAGCTGATGCAACTATTGCCAAGCTCAAGAGCTACATTAAAAAAACTGTTGTCTCTCTCCCTGAAGACGCCTCAGAAGCTGACCTGGAGGCCGCATACAATGATTGCAGTAAAAAGACCCGTGAATTCGGCCTTACGGTCAAGGAACGCGCCCAAGATATCCGTGACTGGAAGGCATCTTACGACCAGGAGACTGATAATCTAGTGAGAGCCGCAGTAAGAAGTACTGTCGAGGTTCTGGAAAAGATTCATAGCCTTGGCCTCCAAGAGGTTGGCATGCGATGGGTATGATATGGCCCCAAGAAGTTAACTCCCTAAATCACCCCGCTAACAAAGCATCGCAGGCATGGACTGATGGCGTCACATACCAAGACTGGCAAAACTATCACAAGTTGAAAAATACGCTCGTTGAATGGGAGAGTGAAGTTGAGGCTGTTGGGTCAAAACATGAGGGCCTTCGTGTTGCTCACGAGGAATCTAAAAAGCTCGAGGACAAGGCCATGAAGATTGCATCGAACATGGTCGCGGAGTTGGTTCGCTTGAAGGACGTTTCCAAGTCAAAGATTTGGGCTGGTGATGCCAGCGATGATTTCTCTGACAAAATCTTTGCGCCTCGCATCCGAAATGCTGCCCAAAAGGTTATGGAGAATGTTGAAATGGCATCAAGTCATGTTTCTGAAGCTATTCAAGGCAGCTCCACCCCACTCAGCGAGAGCATCGCCTCGTCCGCCGCAGAGATGTATTCGGGTGCATCCTCTCAAATATCTGAGGCTATCCAGGGCAGCTCAACACCGCTCGCGGAAAGCATTGCGTCCTATGCCCAGGATGCAGGATCCGGGGCATCATCCCAAGTTGCTGAAGCAGTTGAAGCAGCCTCAGCCGCACTTGCTGAGAATGTAGTAGCCCCTGTAGGGGATGCAGCGGCACAAGCATCCTCTGGAGTTTCCGAGGCCATCTACGGTACCCCATCATCCGAAAGTGTGCTGTCTCAGGCATCTTCTGTAGCCTCGCAGGTAGTTGAGGAGGTTTCTGCAAAGGCCTCTGAAGCCTATGAGGCACCAAAAAAGGTGTTTGGGGGTGCCAATGCCCAGATTCTTGCTGAGGCCAAGCAAATCGTATTTGACCAGCCTCTTGACGACGACGACGAAGATGACACATACTCTGAAAAGGTGCAGGGAGTATTGGCGGATACAGGGGATCGAGCTGCTCAGTTGAGTCGTGCGGTCAGCGAAGCGCTTCTGGGACCATCAAAGACGCAAGGCAGCATCGAATCAGCCTCGTCAATTGCAAGCGAACAATACTCCAAGGCACTCGCCGCTGCCTCAAGCGTGCTATATGGAACTGAGAAGCCCACTGTTGAGAAAGCTACTAGCGTCGCTGCCGACAAGTATGCGCAGGCTGTCACCGCAGCCTCATACGCCATCTTCGGCACACCAGCTCCTACTGCTGTCATTCAAACCATTCATATCGAGGCGAGCTCACGCTACAACGATGCTGTTAGCGCTGCGAGCAAACAATTTGAAAATGCCAAAGCTCAATTGTCCATACTGGTTTCGGGCAAGCCCCAACCTGCACACCAGACGATGCTCTCGTACATCGAGAAAGCCTATTCCGACTCTGTTGCAGCAGCAAGTGAACGTTTGTCAAACGCTGTCCAGTATACCCAGTCCGTAAAGAACTACGCAGCTGGCCCACAACAGGGGTACTTTGAGTCAGTTTCCTCCATTGCTGCGTCACGGCTCTCGGAAGGTCTGAGTCAAGCATCTGCCCAATTCCTTCCCCAGTCGACTGGTATTGCTGATGGTGCTCGACGACAGTACTACGAGGCTATTGGCCTTGCGCACGCTCGGTACTCTGAATTCGTTGACGCCGCTTCAAGTGCTGTCAACGGCCCCCAGCAAGGCACCGTGGAGTCTCTGGCTTCCGTTGCTTCGGCTTCGGCTGCTTCTGCTGCTTCTTACATCTCCGATTCTGCAGAGTCAGCCGCCTCGCAAATCAGCTCCAGTGTCATCGGTTCGGAGACACCCTGGACAGAGTCTGTCGCATCGCAAGCCAGCAAGAACTGGGAGGCGCTGATTTCACAAGCAAGCAACCAAGTCTACGGTCAGCCCACGCCCTGGGCACAGTCCATTTACTCCCAAGCCGGTGCATATGGCGCACAGGCTACTGAGGCTGCTGCTAAGCAATACGCTGACGTCCAGGCTCTGATTTCCGAGCTTGTAGTTGGCAAGGAGCCTGATTTCACGGAAAGCGTCATGAGCCGTTTTGCTTCGGCATACTCTACAGGTCTCCCCGCGGCTATCGCGTCTGCTCAATCGTATGCTGGCGACAGCTACGGTGCGGTGACCGACGCAGCTGCTGACGCATACGCCTCTGCTACTTCCGTTGTTGGCGCAATCTTTACACCTCCAGCTGTTATCGAGGACGTACTGAGCCAGGCCAGTGCTTCGTTGGATCTGGCTGTCGAGAGCGCGTCCATTGCTCTGTATGGAACGCCCAAGGGTGTCGCTGAGCAAGCCAGCGAGTCCGTAGCCAGCGTATACTCATCTATTCAATCTCAAGTCAGCGCCAAGGTTTACGGAACCCAGGCAGCTCAAGACAGCTTCTCAGCAGCCGCACTCTCTGCGCAAGCGGCTATTAGCGAGGCCATCTTTGGTACCCCTACCGCGGGTGACTATGTGGCTTCGGTCACTAGCGGTGCTGGTGAAGTGTACAGCTCACTGTCTTCTGCCGCCAGCTCAGTAGTGTATGGTCCCGAGCAAGGAGCCATGGAGAGCGCCAATCGTCGCATTTCCGACGCCGTTGCTGCTGCCAATAGCCGTATTTCACAGATGTACGCAGCCGCCTCTGCGAGTGCCGAGGACGCAGCCAGCAGTCTATCCAGCGCGGCCACAAAAGCCACAAAAGCCGCAAAGGATGAGTTGTGAGGTGTCACCTTGAAATGGTAGCCTTGCAGTAGACAGACAGGATCGATATCTGCACAATGTGTATGGAACGTACGGAGGGATGAAGAAGTGCGGTGTACGGGGAGGCAGATTTCCTTTTTTTTCTTTGTTACGGGGCTCTAAGCACCCTCGAGAGTAGTGGTGAAGCGCTCACACGTTATACCTACTACACTTTTGCTATGACACGACATGAATTGTACCATCTATATCTATCACACGCCCCCAATTTCTTTTCCTAAATTGTTCTTAGACGGACAAATGGCCTGCAAACAAGGAAGAGAGAGAAACAAAGTTCAGTTGATCTGGACCTATTGGGAGTGAACTCGGGAAACTTGGGAAACTCGGTAGTAATGCTTATATCATGTAACCTATGAAAGAGAGATCCCCCATATTACGGATTGGTCTAGTCATATTTTCCTCTTTTTTGTTTTGTTTTTGTTTTGTTTCCAATCGAGTGAGAGAAAGGGTGGGGGAGTAGGAGGGTGGGAAATATAATGATATATACCCCCTTTTTTTCCCTATCTCTACTTTCAACCCTTGATTCGTCTGGTAATACATTGAAGAAAGCAAAGCAAAGCAAACAAAACACTTATTGCAAGAGAAAGGACCTTCTGGTTTTTATTTGGGTTTCTTCAATCAGATTCATTTCATTGCTAATTGGATTGAACTACATAACAATACACGTACACACACGCGCACACATGAACACTAACCGTGCTTAAAACATGATATTTCGTTGTTTCCCATTTAAACATGGCAATCATACCGACATTAACGGCGGCGGCCGGGGGGGGGGGGTATTTTCCACCAACATCATCCACATGCACATGCACATCCATCTCTCTTCTTCTTTTCGCTCTCT